TCCTTCTTAGAAAGAGGAATGGCAGCTAAATAGAGAAATTAAGTGTTATGTGGTTTGCTTTGTTTGCAGATCCAATCCAAAATGTAAAACTAAATGCACCAGTGACCTTTGTCAAAGAAGGTTACGCCTATAATTTAACATGCAATGTAACTGGACCTGCTGACTACATTTACTGGATGAAGAATGGGCAGAGACTGCATGAAGACAACAGGACTTTTTTCCACAAGGATAACGAGACAGTTGAGATTAATCCAGTAAAGCGATATGACACTGGAAACTACTACTGTTTGGCTATTAATGCTGCTGGAAACATGCCCAGCGCTATTTACATGCTCGTTGTCATCTGTGAGTTTGATATTTTAAAGATTTACGCAACTGAGTGATATGATTTTAACATTTCAAGATATTTGTTGCAAGTCAATTATCTGGAGTTCAGATAATTTCAGTTATGTGAAATACCGAAAGTTCAGGCACAGAAAAATTAATTACAAATACATAAAACATATCAATATCGTATGAAACTTTACAGAAGGCAGTAAATAAAAGACAATGCACAGATCTTAAATTATACTTGCATATCTATGTGCATGTGTGTTGTGTGTTTGTCTCATTTCTTCATGCTTTGCGGGTTTTGGAAAAAAAAGAAAGTGTTCCATAGCGTGCCAGTGTGTGATTTATCAATGTTATGTCTATAACCAGAGGGCATCAGGGACAATAGGCTGTTGTGTGGCTGCCGTGGGCCATTTATTAAAACTCACCGAGATGCGCTAAAGGATGGTGTTGCCTTTGCTAGTGCGGTTAACATACCAGTTTTGGAGCATTTGAGGGCTCATACTAAAGGTTAAATGTGGGCACTGCTGGACCTTTTTAACAACAGCTTTGATGTAAGTTACCTTTGTCATGTCTTTCTGATCAAATGACTGTTGTGTTTGTTTTGTTTGCAGATCAAATAGAAAATGTGGAAGTAAAAGCACCAATGATGCCGGCCATAGAAGGTTATTCATATAACTTAACATGCAATGTAACTGGACCTGCTGAATACATTTACTGGATGAAGAATGGGGAGATACTGCATGATGAAAACAGAACTGTTTTCTACATGGAAAATAAGACACTCCACCTCAGTATGGTGGAGCGCTATGATAATGGAAACTACTGCTGTATGGCTATTAATGCTTTTGGAAACAAGGCCAGCCCTGCTTATAACCTCATTGTCAATTGTGAGTATATTAGAATGTATAGAATGTATGCTACTAAATGGTTCAATGTCAATGGTGCATCACCTTAAATTAGGTAAATCCATTGTATTTCGGTTCTTCAGTTGGGGTGGCTGTAGCTCAGGTGGCAGAGCAGGTCAGCCACTAATCAGA